AGTAACACAATGGCATTCAAAAATCATCACTGTCAATTTGTCATGTTATAGAGAGTGAGTGAGAGAGTGAGTGAGTGAGTGAGTGAGTGGGTGAGTGAGCGAGTAATGGAAGGATGGAGGTTGTGTGCGAGAGCAAGAACTTTTACTGTTATTTTACTATTGTGATTTTTTAATATCTCAAGGACTGAAGCATTGTAATACTGGGAGGCTTTGTCCAATTCCTTGAGTGTCAAAAGGAACCCTCAAGGGATGTTAGCAACAATGCAAAGACATCATTTTATTCACATAGATAGGATGTAGCTTCTGTCCTGAGAGCAGTGATCAATCTCTGTCAAATGGGATCCCCAGTTGATGATACATTCTCAGCGATTTAGCTCTACAATGGGAGAGGAACTCACAACAGGCCATCTGGTCCCTGCATCTGCACTGGCACACACTCTCTGACTGGTAATGAGAGCTGATGTACTGTGTGCTGAATTAGAATCATTTAAAAAGGATTTCATTAGCTTTGTGTTTGGCACTGTGATCAAATATCCTCTGAGAGAAGAACAAGAGCAGATAAGTATGTAGAGCTTGAAGGGAAATTCCACTGATTTTTTAAAAAATCAGCATACTTCATTCAATTTTCTTTGGGTAGCATTTTACCTCGGAACACCCTGCATGTACATGTTACATTTTAGGCCAAAACCATATCTCAAAACCTTGATAAAACAATGTCTCAGGCATCAGACAACGTACTCATAAACATTTGGTGCAATAACTTCTAGTGCCAAAGCCTTCAGCAACATTAAACTCTTCAGACGCCTGGTTCCTATGACCACCACAGTGAACAATTCTGGCTTGGCAAGTTTCTCTAGAATGGAACATTCCATATCAAACTTCTCTGAATGACTTTGGGCCTTTATAGTTTAATTATGCAGAAATGTTCCAAAAATGGTGAAATTCCCCTTTAAAAGAATGGTTCAACAAAAAAGAAAAACTAAACCCGAACATAGTAAATCACCAAGACATTTTGGTTTCCAAAGTCTACTTGCTTAGTTTTTTAATGGAGGTATAAGGTTAATTTAATAGAAGTCTACCTGAAAAGACTTTAGTTGAGTCTCATAGCTACAGTGCAAAACTAAAGAAACAAACTTTGGACACCAAACTTGAGCAGATTTTATGCTGAATCATTCCTTTAATAAGATAAAAGCTCTGTTCTGTCCCCGATATCATTTTAGCAAGAATACCCTATTTAGCTCTTTGAGAGATTGTCAGGCCAAATTAAGTGCTGTTTTCCTCCTTCAGACACATCAAGTACATAAATTGTTAATCTGGCTCTTTTCTCTTTTGCAGCCCACCCTCTGTGCCTTGTTGTGTGACCTGTGACCCCGGCCTCCTTTGCTCTGTGTTTGGGTGAAAGGTGGCTGGTGTCACAGAGGTCAGGGGAAGGACAGAGACAATGCAAGGCCTGCACGAGAGATGAATGTGCTTGGCCTGGGTGTTCCATCACTCTAAATCAATGCGCCTTGCTGGCCTGGGGGCAGCATACCATAACACAGCCTACCATCAGGCATCTCTGCAGTTCAACGTCTTTAGTTCAGGAAGATGGGGGATGTCTGTTTATGAGGCTGTGGATTTAAATCCCTATGAATGTGTTTGGAGTGTTAAACTAGACTTCTTGGTGATTATGACTGTTTTATCTCCATCTTAAGACTGAAATTTATTTAAACGATAATCTTAACATTACCACATTCTGCTTGTTCACACTGGGCTGCACCACACTTAGTGAAGCACCAGAAAAAGAGAAATTTTTTTAAAGGTTTTTTGAATAGGTCATTTGCTTTGTGCCCTTTGACTTGTATATTTTTGCAGTATTTGGGATGTCACATTCATAATTTCATTACCTGCATAATGCACTATATACATAAGTTGGCCCCATTTCAGATTTAACCAATGGCAGAAAGTTAGCTAGTATAATCCTCTAGCAGCAACAAGTAAGTGACAGAAAGCTTTCAAACATTTTTAAGCACTAACTAACCCTTTAATGAGACGAGAGACCATAATGATGACTTATACGATCAATACAGTATGTAGCTACCTGCATCTTGTTGTCTCATCTCACTGTAATGTCACATATTTCAGCCTGGACAAGTAACAGCGGTGTGATGCCATTCTGTAATGTTTGTCGCTACTACATCCATATGGACTGTACAAACACAGGAAGCTAAATAATGTAGCTAGTTGTTGTTATACATGCCCTGTCACCCTGTGCTCTGTAGAAATGTATAATGGTTGGGGTCCATTGCATTTGGTGTAGTTTGTGTGTAGGAAGAATATATAAAATCAAGGTGCTCCTAGTTAAGTTGGCTTGAAAATGACTTATATAGGCAATTTGTATGCTATATAGGCATGTATTGCTCGTATTGCTTGAAAAAAACAGTGTTTGTTCAGATACAGTTTTTTTATAGGAGTGATTGGGGAAATGCTTAGCATTCCATTTATTTTATATATAATTAAATAAATAATTACCTCTTTTTCTGCACGGACAGCATACTCTCTGTAGCCAGATGTTTTTGGACACTGATTTTATGTCACTATCATACAAGTATGTAACACTTTAGCAACAACCTGGGATACCACAGCAATGACCTAGCAACACCTTAGCAACCACCTAACAATTGTCAACCCATGCTCTAACAACAAGCTGGAATTCCTTAACAGCTCCCTGGAATTACTATAAAAACCCAATTAAGTTATAAAAAACAATGGACAGTATTCTGCAACTGCTTTAATTTTTGAAGCTTTATTAGCTGGGCTTGGCGGACCAAATTAAAGTTTGTTCACAAACTCCCCCTTTCTAGTTGTATGATAGAATTTATTTCCTTTTTTATCAGAACCGCTGAGCTTTCATACCTAACTTGTCATGAGCCACATTTATAAATATGATGTATGGAGACCATTGTACTGTACTGTAAGCAGCAGTACCCCACCTGCAAACTTGTACATGACTGAACTGTCCATGTTTTCATTTGTGTTTTGTTAACTCTTCTTCTTCATCTTCTTTCCATGTTTTCAGAGTTGGAATTCTGCCAGAACATTGGCGTCATGGGTTTCTAGGTATCTCAAAGTAAACTGTAACTAATTTTTGCCTCCAGGTGTTGTCACAAGACAAGTGGTGCCTTTTTCCACTCTGACTGACAGCTGGGCTCATGGGGAACAACTCTAGCTTAGATGTGTTTTGACTTTTTCCTTCCTTGTCGTAAAAGGAATCAGCATTGGGATATTGTGGTATATTTAACATGACGTCACTTGGCTCAGTTTATTCTATTGTGTGCCTAGCTGGATCCCTTCCTTAAATTCCTGTTGTATGGTAAATCAATTCAGTATCTAAATAAATTTGACAATATTTGTGTAATGTTTTCCTCCAAACACGGTTATCAGTGCCATGTTTATGCAATGATCTGAAAACACCCATGTTTGGGAGGTGCTCCTGCTTTTCTCTAGGATATTGAGTTGTGTAGGAGGAGGGCAAGCACAGCTCCATGCCGATGTATTGGCAGATATAGTTATCATCCACCACTTTCCCACACTTCCAGACCAGTGGCTCTGCACTGCCCGCCAAACTCACACAGGCAGAGCTGCCAAAAAGGTGCCAACTGCTGCCAACTAGGAGTTCTGTTTTAAAAATGATAGAGCACAGCCCCAGGAAGTTAAGCTGTTGTGTCAACACTTCTGGCACTAACTGGCCTCATGCCTGTAGAGGGGATGCAAAAGCCTACTGCCCTATGCAAAACAACTAGTACAGGTGGAGGACAGCTGCTGTACAGGAGCCTCTGGCCTGTGCCGACTTTATTAAAGAAACAAATGGAGGGGAATGGGTAAAGCCACTTCTGCTTTATTCATTATAAATAAAAAAAGTGCCAATACTAGGTTCATGCACTGATTCATTAGTAAGCACTGTTCTTCTTTTTCACCACAAAATTTCCCCTTTAAATTAATGTAGTAATATTCATTCCTTTCACTTAGACAAAGCAGAAGTGTACACTCAGCCTTAGCTTCTGCAAATCACTGCTGGACTCCCACCTACTAACCCGGGTCTTGTCCTTTTGGCTAAGTATAGTTTAGAATATTTCTGACTTTACAGTTTTTGGACACTTCCCATTGACACACTTCAACATTCAGACATTTGCTTTGAAGACCACATACATTAAATGCTGAAATCACAGAATGATTGTTCCAAACTTTAGCCTCTTGGCTGAACTCATTATAGCTGAAATGAAGCCAGGCTATAACAGAGCAGCAGGCCGGCAGGCTTTGACAGGTCACTGCCTCTCTGGCTCTTTGACAGTAGGCAGACTCAAAGTGCTGAGGTGCAGACCAGCTGCCATGTTGTGCAGAACAACTGCTTGCAAGCTCAGACTCTCGCTGTGTGGTCAACCATTGACAGATTGCCCACAGACCGTGACTAATTTAATCACCAAATGAATTTGCATAGCTCTACTTATCAACATGATATAATGCAGAAAAAACAACTCAATATATTTAACAGAAAAACTTCCAACACTAAATATAATATCAACATTTTCAGTAGTGTGTCTACTCTTTGCCTTTTTTAAAGCTTCCATTCTTTTCAGGAGACTTGCTTTCAGTTTTTCAAAGATCTACAGGGATATTTTTCCACACTGCCCAAATTTAGTCTTTTTTAGTCTTTGTTTGGAATTGGGATTGATAATCCCATACACATTCAGTGATGTTGAGGTCAGGGCTCTGAGGTAGTCAGTTCATTGTTCTGAGAACATTAGCAGCTTCTTTGTTTGATTTGTAAAATTTTCTCTTTATCTATTTCTTTATATTTATCTACATCTAAAGCAAGAGCGGAGCTTGATTTTGGTGGTCTATCAGGTCTTGAATGGTTGTTAGGAGTCCCTTTTCTCTTTTTTTTCTTTTTTAAAAGTGTGAATATCAAGCAGCCAGGACTTGAGTAAAGGCAAAAAATAAAACAAAGACATACTACCAACTCACAGTTTTTCCATTTTAATCTCTGGCAGTCATATTAAATACACTTTAATGTTGCTTTCCAGTTTTTTCTAGTGAATTAAAAATTAAGTTTACATTCATGTTAAGCTCATGGTACTAAACTCAATTAATAATGCAGCAACCAAAACAGAAAAGCTTCTTATAACAAAGCAATAGAAACGATTCATATTTACATAAAATACAAAAATATATATATATTCACAAAAAGGCATTACTGTGTAAATTTACATTAACCTCCTCTATACAATTACAAATAGATTTCTATAAAAAGCCATTTAAATAATCTTCCAGCTCATGTTTTCCCGAGGGAAAACAACCAGTCTTGATATTGTGTGTGTGTGTGTGTGTGTTATCAGTCTTCATGCATTACATCATAGTTCAGCATGTTAGTCCATGAGAATGCCTTGTCAAGGCCCTTGACAGTCCAGTGCGCGTCCTGCTGCCTGGCTGTTATCCCTCATGGTGGGGCTGCCTTATGCTGGCCCATTGCCATTGCAACTCCAGTTACATGCCTACACAAAAACAAGAAGGGACACCAATTATTGAGGCTTCTTTAGTCTTTAGTTGTCAAGGCTGTTCTTGGACTGAGGGGTTCTGTTTTAAATAACAGCCACACTGTAAACACTGTGGCCCGATAAACACGCCAGTCTTAACTGCTGTACTGCACACAGTGGGGAGCACTTAGTTCCCAGCATAGAAGTGGAAGGGCTACATGTAATATATAAAAAACAGCCTCTGGAGCCACTCCTACCCTGACATTTACACTCCATGTTTTACAAACATGCATTCCATGCTCCCTGAGACGTGTTACAGCACTCTGGCCTATAACCCCCCCCCAAAGAAATAAACTTGGCAGAACTTGTGTACTGCATCTAAAAAGACATGGTCATGAACTGAGATTTTCACTTTTTGTCAAGGGCTGTCCCGCTGCAAAAAAAAATGTAGTCACTGAAGACATGTCAGTACTTACTTGCTAATGTCTTGTCAAGGTCAGCGATGAAGTCTTCTAGTTCCTTTGTGTCACCAAGTTTAGCTGTAAAGACCACAGTAAGGTATAAAAAAGACAATTCAACAAACGATACACAATACTAAATGAAATGTCTGGATCTAAACCTGACGTTTACTTACGTTTGGGTGACATAACTAAGGGACTGGTAGGTGAAGGGGAGAAGACGGTGGGAGAGTTGAGCTTTTCATCGCTGAAGCTGAAGCTGTTTCTGTTGAGCGACTCTGCACCTGTCAGAGAGAGAGCACGAGAAAGGTTTAAACATGCTTGCCCAACCCAGGCCTCTCAAACAGGTGAATACCCCTCTCACCCTCATCCTGCAGTATACAGACCTGTCAGACTGACCTAGGGGCTTCAGTGTGTAATCAGTGCATAGTCCTCAAATAATAGCCTCGCTCTCCACTCCAACACGTACACACATTCAAGCGTCCCACCCACTGGCAGGTTAATTTAAAGCCAAGTCTGCTCCCTTCTATGCAAAAAACACCAATCCCTGCTCTGTGTTTGTGCATTCTTATCCCAGCTCGCACCTAAGACAAACCAGGCATGTCATTACAGGGACCCTCAGCATGTTCAACTTTTCCCCTCGGTGGAATCATTCGGCTCAATGTTGGTCCCCTTCACTCCTAAGTGCAGGCTTAGCACAGCTCACTCACACCACAGCTCCAAAACAGCAATGCCAAAAGAGCACAGGTTGCTTGTGTTCCACACACAGTAGTAAAATCTGCCCGTCTGACTGCTGAGTGAAATAATGAATGCTTTGATTTTGCCAAGATATATTTTAGCCTGCCACAAAATTCAACACATTCGACTGTTTGTTCCGAGAGGAAACGGGAGGGAGAAGAACGTTTTTGTTATTCCTGATTAAGCGTAGGAACAAATGCCCAAGCAATGTGAATTTATTTTGGAATATATGAACAAGACTCCTTTTAGAGGCCTGTCCTTTAATCATTGCCCGTGTAAATACATTGTTCACTATCACAAAAGTCTTTTTGTTTTGGCTCTCAAGAACCAGATTTTAGATAGCAGTACATTAATGAACCCAAAAACCGCTCTATGTTGGCTTTAAACAAAACTGATTCATATGAGTGAATGCATATCCTGAAAATAATACCCTACATTCTCCAGGCTGAGCTCAAATCCACTGGGTTAGTTTTGGCTTTCTTTGGGTCTGTGTGAGGGTTTTTTGCAGTGTCTGCCTGAGCTCCCCCTGCGCAACTCCCTGCAGCTCTAACACTGACAGCACTCACCACTGATGGAAGCCTGCCTGTCTGTGTACAGAATGCCCCCAGAGAGACTACCTGTTCAGACAACACTGTGAACATCTACTGCTGTTGTTCCTGGCATTAAACACTGCCTCAAGAACTTTGACATAATCTGTACTAGCAAGACCTCAACACACATGGCATTAGTCCAACTTTAGGACTGACATGTCTGAATATGCAGTCAAAGAAATGACTTGAAAGAACTCGAGACCAAGCCTTAGATAAACAACAAGTCTTTCACCCTAATCAATTCTCAAGGGAAGGCTTGCATGGGCCTTCACCTGACCTCCTTATATCTGCTCTAAGATGTTTCAATATAAGATAGAGCCACCATACAAATGCTACAGATGTTATAGTAATTACATAGCTATTAACATTTTTACAGTTGGGTAACCTGGCCTGTGGGGCACTGTTATAATCCAGTTTTAGTTTACTACCAAAGGGTGGGCGATATGGCCAAAAAACTATTTCAGAAAACTTGAAGATGCACCAAAAGCTACCAGAAGAACAGCAGTGTCACATTTTAAAAGACTATAAAAATCTGCATTTGCCTAAAAAGACTACTTAAGAAGAAACAGGAGGAGAAATCAAACAATTAGTATAAATAAATTAATAAAATAAGTTTATTCCATGATGGCTGACATCCAGTCAGCTAACTTACATGGTTCAATACACTGCTGTTTAGAGGTTGTCTTTTCTTATTTTTCTGTTAATCAGTGTTCTAAAAGTACTGACGATATAACCGATATGCGCAAACAAGGCGTGTTGTGACGTAACTTTTAAATAGCGACAACTTTTCGTTATAATGTCTACAATTAACAATGACGCGGAGGTCAGATGGCGTCTGAACCACAGGAGCAAACCTCTGAGTACCCAGGCAGTTCATGCTGTGTGTTTACAAACTTCTCACTGACGCCCCATAATCCTCATAGCCTAACGGTCTCAGTTCAACCCGTCACTCACTTTCTGAGTCGCTGATGCCGCTGTCGCTGACGCTGGCGCTGCTCCTCCTCTTCATCGTTTTTAAGTGTTCATCATATCTGAAGTGTCTCTTCTCTATGGGGGACGTGAAATCCTCAATAACAGCATCGAACTCGCACAGCACGGCGTTGAGGTCGTCGTCGTCCTCAATAAATGCTGCAAAATGACAAGAAAAGAGCTTTAACATCGCAATTTCCAGCATTAAACTTATCTTAAATTTATTCTTCGTTAGACTTTTGGAGCGTGGCCTTGGCGAGCATGCTGGGATTCGGTTAGTATCTGTACTAAACCTGAAGAGGTCACAGGTACCATAAGCTACAGCCTCACCTCAACCATGAGGGTTAATAAGTCGAACACAGCACTTTAAGGAGTCGAATAAACTCACATTTGCTCTGAGACTTCATCTTTGGAGACTTCATTTCGGTTCAGGTATCCTAGTACAATTCCAAATGATCCGACAGAGTAAGTGTCCCAGGAAAGACTTTGTGGAAGCGCCTATAAGCTTCTCCTTATCCTCGCTCCTCTCTCGTGTGAAGCTGCCTTGCAGTGAAAGTAGCGTGAGCGCTTTTAAATGTTCCCCGCCTCCCGTTGTGGTGGGCGGGGCCAGTGCGGAGGCGGGGAAAAGTGACTAAAGCTCTAGCATTGCTGCCTGATTTAGTTTTCCGCAGCGGGCCGTCATTTCTGTTAGCAGTGTGTGTAAACCACCACGACACATGTAGCACACAACGTGCTGCTCCTCTTTATTTTTAACCATGAGCCAGCACTTACTTTAGCCTTACAGAAATACACAGGTACAAAGTCTCATTTCACATTTTCAGAGCACTTCAGAGAGAAGAACCAGTCTCTTTTAGATTTATTTTTGGTAGAACCTCACAAGCCACAGCAGCTCGATGATGTTTATAAAAATGAGGGGAAAAAGCCAGATAGATAGATAGATAGATAGATAGATAGATAGATAGATAGATAGATAGATCTCTCGTTTTTTTATAAAATGAGACAGGAAAACTAGTAACACAGTCTTTTAAAAATGATCACTTTTTTAATATTTTGAAATAATTTTCATTACATCTATTTGTTTATTTTTAGATAATTTTTTTCTTTATCAGTGGGTTAATATTGGTAAAATGTTCTTGGTACACTCTTAAAAAAAGATGATTCTTTAAGAGTTCTCCATTAAAGACAGTGGTTCTATATAGAACCATGAACACTCAAAGGTCCTTTTGCATGATTAAGGGGTTCTTTTTCTGGTGAAGTCAGATTGATTTAGAATGTGTTGTATTTTTCAAAAAGTTTATTTGGCACCAAAACGGGCTCCCATCGTAACAGTTTAGGCACGCAAATGGTTCTTGCGTGTTCATGATTCTATATAGAACCACTGTCTTCACTAAAGAACCCCTCAAGGATCAACTTTTTAAGAGCGTAGTTGTGCATGTAGACACTGGCGCTGTTCACTCCCACAGACGTACTACTGCAGAGGCAACCGTTCTTTTGTAACACTGAGTTTGTAGCGACATCTGGTGGTCTGGAACGGTAATTACACTAATGAGACGACCTCCAAGGAACTTCAAGACGTCAAATGAACTGCTGGGTTAAACATTTTACACATTATGCAACTGACAAGATAGTGTAGTATTTACACTGGGAGTCAGAAAGAATTGCACATGCACGGATGTCATACACATAGCAGCTGGTTTTTAAGGGTTTATCTTGTCTTAAAGGAAGAAAACCACAACATATAATTAAGCCATTTTGTGGTCCTAAGCTATGAAATATTTGGAGGTCCCCTATAACTCATTCAAAATCCCAGGCTTTTTACACGCTAAGGCGTATTATTCAGTAAGTACAGGGACCTCAGTGCAAACTGGTTGAGCTATTCTTAGGTTATAGAAGTAAGCAGTAAAACTTTGGGCCTGCTGGAGGGCCCTGGCCACGTAAGGGGTTAAATGAAAATATTATATATGCTGTATGAAAGCATAACAAGACTGCCAATTTTAGTGGGTATGTGTTTGGTGAGATTTTCAGTTGGCTGGAGTGAGACTAAAGTGAAATTCTCAATTTTGCATGCACCAATGTGTATCTATTGTTACTCTGAAGCTATAAATTGCGATAAACTCTATAAACTGTTAGTGTGTATTTTCTATTTTGCCTTCATTTTTGGAGTGTCAGTGATCATTGCAAAAACAACAATGTATCAGTATTTTTTTTAGCTCCTCTAGTGCCTCACATGGCCTTGCCATACTTTCCTAAACTGCTTCCCACACATTCTTCACTGCTGTCCACAGACCATCCGTATTGGCTGGATTTTTCTTTACACACTTCCCAACAATAACCCCACCAGATCTCAATGCATCTTGCATTGTCTTGATGGAATATCTGTCACTTGTTGTGCTTCTCCTCATTTAAATGACCAAATGGGACCAAACCTTTGTGTATGACATATGTATATGTGAGCTTTGGAGGATTTGGAGGCTCAGGGGTTCAGGTGTCAACACATTGCTTTCCCTGAGGTGTGAATTCCAGCACTTTTAGCATTTTATCACACATTCATTGTCTGCTTTAGCACGTAGACAAATGGCAAAACAAAGTGTGTGTTTGCATCTGCACTTTCCCGATGACTTTTAAAGCAGCTGTGTAAGGTAATAACACACTCAGTGTTACACAAGGTGACAGATTTAACACTTAACTGTATGAGGGAGCGACAGCTTTGTTTAGTTCACAAGCCTGAAATATGAAAAAAACATGTATCTCTAAAACAGTAACTTTACAGGAGAAGTCAAAAATGTTCTTAAATGTTAATATACGTTAATGTAAAGAGATGTTACTCCACATAATCCTGGAGGATTTCTATTGTTCCATTCATCATGAAATGATCACACAGTGTAAACAACTGCTGTGCTCAAATAATGTAGAAAAATGTGACAGACATGTATGATATGATAGTGATAATATAATATGCAGTGTATAAAGCAGGGGTTCCCAAACTTTTTGTCTTAGGAGACTGAAGTACAATGTCTGTATTATGTATTAAATGTGACTCTTATTGGGTGAGGGGTTGGAGTTAGGGCAACTTTCTGGCAGGCCAAATTAAACATCTTTATCAGCCAACTTTGGCCTGCGAGGCACACTATGGGCAGCCCTGGTATACAGGATGTTAACGATGTTGTAATTAAATTTCAGCTTATATTTCAGTATGGCATCTGTAATATATTAAAAGTACAAACTGAGTATTCAAGGTGTGCTAATAAAGCACAATACAAGAAAAAAAACATTATGCTAAAAGAACAATGTGCCGTGTATCTAAAACTCTTTTCTCAAATGATTACCTGGAGTTAATCAAACAAAGAAGAAAACACTGAATTATTACCATCTTTATTTCTGCATTTCTTTTGATTGATTTCAATTACATACACATTTATGACACATTTTTCCACACAAAATATACACTGTAGTGCCGAATCATCAAGGAGCTCCTAAATAATGACAGACAAAATGCATTTTTAAGACAGTATTGCCTTCTCGCCATAGCCTTTCACCATTGTGGCCTACATTCACATGAACTTTATTTTTAAAGTTTTGTTGTTGCTGGTTCACCTATTACGAATGCCTCCAACAACACAGGCTTAATACTGAGAAATGTAAGACTTGACAGAGTTACATAATATTCAGTTGTCATGCTGGTCATAAAGTGCCTTCAATGAATATCCTTCCATTTTCAACACAAATTATGTTTGATAAATGGTAAAAAAATTAAGATACCGTTTATATTGATCAATAGGAGCACCCAAGCATGCCTCAGCTATTGATACTTGTATGTCACAGTTCCAATTATGGTCCATACCATTTAAGACTAAATACAGTACTGTGCCTGTGTAAAAACACAAACTGGTCCAAGTTAAGGCTGATCTTAACAGCTTCTGATTCATATAGGTTGTCAGAAGATCTTTTGAAATGATGCAGTAAGATGGGTATGGCACATCCTAATTGATAAACATTTTCCTGTTCTGTATGAATACAAGTCTGTAGTGACTGCTATTAACGTATAACTACTTTATAGAGGAGAGGCCTTCAAATTCAGACCTTGAATTCAGTTTCCGGTCCTGCATTTTGTAATCACTGGTAGTTATCTGACCTGTTGTAACTAACTGGCCACGTAGTGTCATGTGGATTTATTGTGGATTCAAGGTCCAGATTTGAAGACCTGTGTTATAGTGAGTGATCAAAACCTAAAGAACATGATCAATTGTTTCCCTTTTTTACCTTCTAAAAGAAAGTCTGTATTTTATTTCAGAATCATTCAAATATTTGTAAACTCTTAAGCTGGCCTCAGAGAGTAACGAAAACATAGGACTTGTGCAGTGTTCCTGACGAACACCTTAGCTAATTGCACATCGTTCAAACCAGAAAGCAAACAAGAAAGTGCATCCTGCTTTCCCTCCCTCATTTCCTGTTTCATTTAAAACAGCTGAACATTCAAAACAAGTGGCATGTTCTCTGTCTTTACAGGTATTTCATTATTTTTGTTCTATCAAACAAGGCCACATTAACTCAGCAGAAACAGAGCTTCTCCTCTTGATCACTAGTTGGCTGCATTACAACACTTCCGCTTGGCTGTTTCAGTCTTAGGGGCTTGTGATTCTTTAGCTTGTATGCCAACGTGAGAAAAATGGCATCAACATGCTCTTTCTCAGCAGGGTCCTTCGCAGATGTCTCGAAGAGGGGGAAATTGTAGCTGTCAGCTAGACGCTGTGCCAGCGAGTTGGGAACCTCTCCTCTTCCTAAGTCACATTTGTTCCCCACCAAGATTCGGGGCACCATAGGAGGGACCGAGTGGCGGCTGCATTCCTCAATCCACTCTGGCAAACTCTCGAAGGAAGCTAGATTGGTCACGTCATAGACAAAGATGACAGCATGGACATTGCGGTAGTAATGCTCCACCATACTCTTCCGGAACCGCTCCTGTCCTGCTGTGTCCCAGATCTGCAACTAAAAATGAACAAACTATTTAGATCATTTTCCCGACAGCCACAAAGAAAACAGCAGTGTTGCACTTCTGGGTCTGTATTGATAAAGCAGAGTGGGAGTGCTGATCTAGGATCAGATTCCTCTCTTATTTATGACCTTACTGACAGAAACAGATCCAGGATCAGCACTTCTTCTCAAAGAAGCGCTATGAACACGGGCCCTATACCTTCATTTACACAGGCTAGAGGGCTGACCCTGGATCAGATTCCTCTCGTTATTATACGATGACCTTACTAACATGAACATATCCCAGATCAGCAGTCTCTTTACAAATTTGAGTGTAAATACAGGCCTACAGCCTGTTTTCACAAGGCCACAGATTATCTTCGCTGACCGTCAGACTTAATCACTGTCGATTATCAAGGGTTCGGAAAAGGAAATGGTCAATGCATAATAATTTTCATTAGATGAGCTTAATGAACGTAAGCTTGTTAGACTACCTCGACCTGCTGTGTATCTCTACGGTTCATTAACGGTCTAGTTTTCCTGATTCTTTAGCTATTCCCACTGCACTGCTGTTCTGTAGCATTCTGGCTATGACTGCAGGGCAAACTACCGAGTAGCCTAAAGCTAGCCTTAAGCCTCAAGCAGAATAACGGTCACAGCGCAGCAGCCGCTACCAACACGCCACTGCATATTCCGTATCAAAATAACACGCAGACATTATAAGAATAAAGGCGATGAGCGACTTTCTTACCTTGATATTTTCTCCATCAAGCTGGAGGGTCCTTTCTCTGAAGTCAACTCCGATTGTTGCTTCAGGGTTTTTGAGAAATTTACCGCCACAGAACCTATAGCTTAGACAGGTTTTTCCAACATTTGAGTCACCAATAACAATTATCTTAAATATTCTTGACTGAAGGCTGTCCTGAAACGAGTCATTCGCAAGACTGTCTCTGTTATGAATCGTTGTAAAATCATTATCGGCATTCTTGTTTTCAACTGCCATAGTTCAGAGAGTCCCATGGCGTCTCGCGAGAGAACAGGAAGCCGCGAGCTGAGCGTGAACTCCACATGACCACGCCCCCAACCGCTCTCTCTCTCTCACACACACACACACACACACATACATTGCAGCTTCATACAGGCCTACAGTCTTTATTTATGACATATAAAAAATACACGAGCTACAGTAATTGTGCAGACAAAAAACTTTAATTAATTAGGAGCAAACATATAAATAGGAGAAATAAAAGACATAAATCAGATCTCATTTCTACATTCTCATGTAAAAATACTTGTGTGAATGCATGGAGACAAATGCATGAGAATGAATAAAAACTAAAACATACAAGACATTTTTAGACCCCAAAAGTGTATTAATACTGCTATTTAGCTGCATCTCTCAAAACGTACACAATAACACTGTTCACACTGTAACAGCGGTTTACCAAATTGGCATTATAATCCTGAGAAAATTATTTTTCAGCCTCTGGTGTTTATCACAGTAGCATCTGATTCTATACTACTAATACCATGTAAATTCAAGTAAAACAGATCCTCTGCACTTGTATACAACTGGAAAAGTCACTTATGGTTGGGCAAATAATACCAATGCTGTTAAGTAATGCTTAAACCTTAAAAGGAAAGTCCACTGCTGTTTCACATTTTCTGATGATTAAATTGTTAAGATGTAAACAAAGTCAAATTGGTTCAAAGTAAAATGCTCCTTTCCAGAGAAACTTAGTGAGTCAGAATTGCTCACAAGTGACAGTGACAGGAACAAGATGTCCGAAACGCATCTAAAAGCTTCTTCACAGAAAGCTATCACACAGAATTGTTAGAAATTCATTATCTAATGCTTGAAATATTGTTTTAGGGTAGTTTTATGATAACGTTTTGGCCTAAAACAAATAAATCCATTTATGGTACACATAGAGTGTTCTATGGCAAAATAGTACCCAAAGATTTTTTTTTTTCCACCATTATCAACATTACCTACAAAAACCCAGAGGACACGTGTAAATTCATATAGTTTTGGATACTAAATGAAATGGCTATGCTTGTGCTGTAGGTACTGTGAGTTTTTAGGCCAAAGTCGTAACTCAAAATATCATAAAGCAAATTATAAAAATAAAATCTGAGTTTCTCTACAACGCACCATCTCACATCAAACTACTCTGAATGGCTCTGTTTACATCTAAATAATTGAATTATGCAGAAAATTTTTAAAATCGGTGGCATTTGCTTTAATATCCACATTTGATACCTAGTTTATCTCCTACAAACAGCCCTGTGTATGACACTATGATGACTTGATACACAGTGTTTGCTACCAGTTCTCATCAGAAAAAGAGCTTGAGCTGCCAGAATCTGAGTCTGCATCAGTCAAACCATCAAAGTCCCAGTCTGCACTGGAGCCACTGTCATCATCCTCCTCAGTGATGAAGTTCTGTCCTGAACTAAGGCATGCTGTGTACACACGGGCAGAGAGGCTTATCGAACCAAAAGAAGATCCAAACATGGTAACCACGTTTTTCCATGTATCCCTTGTGGAGTCATACTCGTGTATGACAAGCCTGTTTTTGTTGTGATGCACAATGGCAAGAGTGAGCAGAAGCAGTTTGCTGTTGTGTTGCACCACCTGGTAGTTCAGAGCACTGCTGTCGATGGGTATGTCCCCAATGCGCCTCCATTCCCCTCGGGCTGGGTTATACGCTTTCACCACAGGGATGTCACAGAGGCAGATGATCTGCTCCTGAAAGACGCAGGCTTTGTGCAGCTTGTTTCGTTTTAAGGAGCCACGCTGGAGCCAGTGGTTTCTCTTGGGCTCATAGCAGAGCATTCTTCTCTTGTTCACTACATAAAGTCGCTCATTTACTGTCACAACTTGCATCTTACCTAAGGAATGCGGCAGGGGGGCGACAAACATCCACTGGTTTCTCTGAATGCTGTAGCACTCAACCTCCTTGAGCCTGGCATCAGATACAGGGTCTCTTCCACCGAGAACATACAAGTGCCCACTGAGGTAGCCGATGTACGAGTGCATCCTTCCTAGCAGCCTCTCAGCCAACTCCTGCCAGCAATTCAACAATGGATTATACACCCAGAAGTGCTTTGACAGGTGTGAGGCCAGATACAGGTTGTTCTCTGGTGTGGCACAGACTAAAAATGTCTCCATGGGAGACCGTTTAAAGTTCTGATTGCTCAGATTAATGACAGGTGATCCCATAGAGTAGATCTCTTCTGTATAAGGATCATAGCACATGAAAGGTTCATTCGGTCGCCCAAAGAACAGGACCATTTCCTTAGCACTTTTGCCTATTCTCTGTTTCGTAAGGTTCATGCCTTTTGAAATTACACTGCTTTCTCCACCACCAGCCAAATCTACGAAACCAGAAAGGTGTTTCTTTATAAAAGGCTTTGACTTAAGGCTATCTAAATAAACCCTGTCTTTTTCTGTGAATAGTGACCACCGAACACATTTAAGGATGTGCAATGCATCCTCCGATTCTGGAGGCAAATTATTTTCGATCCAGTGTATTGCAAGCGAGCACACTTTCCGCTCACAGTCCACATCCAGGGAATCCAGAGTGAGGATTTCTTTCATTTGTTTCATGTCCAGCTCACACAGCTCCTTCCCACTGGCACTGAGCAGGTCGAAGTTCTTTGCTATAAATGCTTGAGCTTTGCTTTTCAGATCCAGATTGTCGAACGTGTCAGCAAATTTCAAAACCCCTGTACAGTTAGAGAGGTCCAGCCTTCTGGTCATAAAATCAGTACAGGCATGCCTGATGTATTCCAACTGCAGCATGTTAGCAGCTGCGTAAAGCCTTTGCACGTTGCCTTCTGTGATTGTCACTTTCCCAGTGTAACAGTAGTCGATTATAACAGACATCGAGTCCGCGTCCACATCGTGGATGGTTATCTTGCTCTGAGTGCTCTCGTACAGACCCCCTGTAAACATGCTCTTGAAATAGGGACTGGCCGCGGCCAGTACGTTACGGTTGCACTGGAAAACTTTCCCTGTTTCAGCTCTGGAGGCACAGTCTGAGGACACGCTGTTAGCCGAGTTGTCCTGCTCTGGCTCCACTTCAATAGTGACATCCACCAGAAGGCGAGAGTCGTAGAAAAATTTAAGCTCTTTCATCAAACTCGCTGCATGATTTGAATCTTCGAGCTCCTCCGGACCACTGAAACAGTCCACTGTAGCCATTTTTAGCTTAAGAGGCATTCAGAAGCCGGTGTCTTGCCTCTCCAGTCGTAGGTATGACCCAGGAAAGTTAGTTATGTCCTTATTATCTGTGTAATTCTCATTTTACCAATCCAACGGTCGCCGGCGCAGACATAAGCTTTCCAATTCACATTCCCAAATGGAGAGCTAACAGCCTCCCAACGGCTTGAACAGGCACGTTTTCTTTGTTGCCTGATAACGAAACCATGTTTCATGGTTGAAAACGTGGTCGCGGTGACCACATTAGTTTATTTTCCATCATAAATGTGAAATTTGATGAACAGCTTTTCTCCGTTGACTCATCTTGTTCTTGAGAGCTCAACGTAGCACGGCGCAGCCAACCGTGCTACCAGAGAAGCTGAAACATTAGGCACTGATTGGCTACGCAGACTGCGCTCTGCATCAGCGGGTTTGGTTGACTCGTCGTGTCCTTGTTTACTCTGGTATTTAAACAAATCCAGCTGCGCTGAACACGGTCCACCTTATTTACTGAAAAGCAGCGTTTATGTCATTTTTAGTCCGCGAACAGTAAGTAGACTTGTACATGATGAGGTGGCAATAAGCATTGTACGGAGGGTCATTCGTACAGATAGCAATGCTGAAGTTGGCGTCCTATTCTCCAGCCTCTCGTTCGAATTTTCCCGTTCCACCTTAAACGGTACAGCAGTTAATCTTGCTTCACCGTTTAAGGTGGAACGGGAAATTTAGAACAAGAAGCTGGCGAATAAAAGGCTGACTTCAGGTAGCTTCGTATATGGATCGTCCTCACCTGATCCCCCATCCAGTACGTCTTTTAAAATAAAATGAGAGAAAAACAGATTCAACCGTTTAAGCTTAATTTTGACACACGTTCTGAGAGGTTTAACAGATTTTAGGGGATTGGGGTCAATAAAACAGTAATGCTGCTTCTCGTAGCCTAAGTAAAACGGGAGCAGCAGCCTGCTGCATTAAGATTATGGAGACTATATTTGCCTGAAACACAGTGTTAAAGCTTCTTTGAATAAATGGTCCTCATGATTTATGATGTTCTCCACGAAACTTAGATTTAAATCCAGTTGCAGAATAATTTCACATCCCCTCCAAATATCCAGAAATTAGAGGTTAGTTTCACAGTTGTTTCAAAATTTATGCAGAACCCAGTCATTAATATGTAAAGTTTGATGGGAAAATGTGCTGTTCTAGTGAGACTTACCAAGTCTTAACAGTTCACATTGGTGGCTGTAAGAACGTTCAAAGTCGTTAATGCCTCTGAAAGCTACCTCACAGAAAGTTTTGGCATAAAGTGGTTACGAGTGTATGCCTTAGACACTGTGTTACAGTACTTTTCTACTTTTGGCCTAAAATGGATATTTGTAAGGCAAAATAGTCCCAAAAGAAAACATATTCTTTTAGTTTTAGCACTATTTTACATTATCAGTATTACATATAAAAACTTAAGATACTTGTAGGTTTACTGGTGGTTTTGGGTAGTCAATAAAGTGGCTATATTGCATTGCATCCCCTCGTTCCTGTCCACGTCGGCATATTTCTCTACAATACACCATTGCACATCAAACCGCCCTGAATGGGCTACATCTCGCTGAATGTTTTATGCAAAAGTTTTCGAAAATCAGGGGAATTCTCTTTTAAAGCCCTTACTCATTTTCATGATTTTTTCTATCTATTATCTGTAGTTTTGGTTATGTTTTTTTACAGTGATCTGGCAGATAAAGAATGCTGTCTTTTCTGTTGACAGTTTTTATTAAATCACTTTTTCTGATCTTCTGTTTGATTTGAGTTGGGTGGGACTAAATAATGCACAGGTGATGTCAGATCTGCCAAAGGACCAATCAGAGTTAGCAGTATGTGTACGTCAGCCACCCGCGTTCCTCTCCTTCACATACAGTGACCGCTCTGTTGCTGCTCGGAGTCTCAGACAAAACTGCTAACTGTTGTTTGTTTCCTCCTACTTGCGTTAGCCACCTAAGCGATTAACTTCATTAACAAGAGTGCAATAGTTTGCGGTCCACTTTAACTGTAGGAATAAAAAAATCATATGTTAGCTACTCCCTTAATTTCAAAGCTTATAGTGTTTCATTACAGTTGTACTTTAAAGGCGTGCTGCACCGTGAGGCACAGAAGGATTTTCCCCACCGTATCTGCATATATATATCTAACCGAATGGGAGCATGACCTCAGTTTCACAGGCCCAGCTGTTAGCTAGCTGTTACGGATATAACATTGGTGCTGCTGACCGTTTAAATATCGCACATGATGTCCGTGGTCTACACGTCGGCTCAAACATGCAGGGCCGAACCACACCAGTTAGCGGTTTGGCTCACCACTGCCTCTGGCGGCAGGTTGTTTACATTGCCTGGGAGACGCCACTGTCAGTCATTTGCATTCTGACACAGCCACACAGTTGTGAGCTGGCAGCAGCTCTCAATTTTTGCAATTGCTAATTGTATTAATTTATATGTATTTCTTTAATAAAACACTGGTAAATGCTTTTTCCTCTACATATCTTTACTAAAAAAGACATTTGAACATTAAAAAACACATTGATGGGGCTAAAGACAACTGAGAACACATGCCTGCCAAGAAATAAATTTAGTTGTAACTACGATTAAGTTCATTGATTCTACGCAGGGCATCCTTGTTGTCTATAGTCTTGTGGACTGTAATGAGAAAGGGAAAGGCAGAGGGTAGCTCCACTCTGCGACTGAGTTTCTGGTGGCCCCAGTGCAGACAGCGCAGCTTCTCAGCCAGGTCCCGACGACCAGCTCGCTCCAGACCATCCTGAAGCAGTTTAGTCTTATTGGGCTTGTCCCAAGAGCGATCATACCTGTGTGATAAGAAAGATTAAACTTACTTGCTCACATTAAGATAAATGGAAAAAATTAAGGAATGAGTCTACATAAAAAAAACCATTTTTATTTATAAAAAGTATGCTGCCTTTGTAATATTACTTATGAGTGTGTAATAATTTGTGTATCCACATGCTAGCTTGAGTTAACAGTGTTATTTATCTATTTATTATGAAGTTTGCTGGTTTTTACCAGGATTCCAGCATGCTCTTGGCCTGAACCCTTTTTTCTTGAGATGTGGCGTGAAACTGCCTCACTTCGTTTCTGGTGAAGCCCAGTTCATACGCAAGAACTGTCCACTCGAAGCCCAGCTGCTTAGAGATATCCTGAATAGATTTCAAATTGATCACAGCATCCTGAGAGACACAAAAGATATGTATTAGTTTTTATTTCTAATCAACATCAATTTGGCCTCACACTTTTACAGAAAGGCAAGGATTAATAGGACTCACCTCTTGAGCTTTACTTGGCATTTTGTCCACACTTGTCCTCATGTAACAGTCCTTTCCATCCATGATTGTCCCATAAACAAAAAGCAAAAGTCAGTGATTACTCTGATGTTAAGGAAAGCAACCATTTATGTATGTCTACTCAACTAATAGGGCAAAACATGAGTGGTTACATGAGTGTTTTAAATTAAACAAGCACTTACTTTGTTGTTGCTGCACACAAAAGTCAGATCTCTTGCTCTGGCTTGGAGTCTCCATGGAGATTCTCCAACACAAATCTGCTGTTAGAAATTAAGTCTTTATTTAGGCTGAGCTCACCCAGTTGAGTCCACTAAACTTAATGCGGCATTAAGTCATGTCCTGTGACTCACTTACAGTATACTGTGTGCAATTAGTGCATAAATGTACAAATGAGACTTCATCTACTTGTATCTAGTGTTACAGAAAAATAAAATATTTCTACAGGGTTAAAAAATACTAAAATTAATAAAATAGAAATATTTTAGCACAGTAGCTCAGCATTACCTGAACATTCTGCTCTTCCAGAGTATAGTAAATACATTATCAAATTTTAATACCAATATGAATCTGATATCATCATGCTTTCCTAGTCTCATCTTCAAGGTAGCCTGAAGTAAGTTACTTTAAACGCCTCATAACATAACAACTAGTATTTTACATTTCTTGACCAGGCATGGATCGTTGTCTCACAAGGCCCCTAGGCACAAGTGTCTTTGGAGGCCCCCCTTTACCCCCACACTTACATTGACCATAATGCAAAAAATCACAAAAAACAGACCAGCAAGTTAACTTTAAAGAGTCAAAACAATGGAAATTGGATTCCCTGACTTTTTTGCAGTAAAAGAGCTTGATGTGGTATGCAAACACTGTTAAAGTTTCAAACTGTACCATTCACTCCCCAGACCATACAGTTCATATGTGGAAACTAAGCTGTTAAAAAAAGTTAGTTTTGAATTAATTGTTTCAGTGATGTCACGAAAACCTATGCATTTGCATATATCTACTTATTCAGTTTACAGCAGTTAACCCCATTGAGTGTTTCAGCCTGGGAAACAGAGGTCATTCGCGTATTTTCATCTTAGAGACACAGTTACAAAAACAGCCTGTTTACGGGATTAAGGGATAAGGAGAGGTTGGAAAATGTTTTTCGTTCATAAAAACACACAAATGTTCAAGTGGACTTCAAGAAAAAATATTAATTAGAGGAAAATGTTGAATGTTGGACCCTTAATAAACCACTCTTGCTTGTTTGTTGTTGTTTGTTTATATGCACTTTGAGCAGTGTTAGAAAAAAGTAATGAAACCAAAATTGTTTGTTTTCAAATAATGTGAAATAGCCTATTATTTCCTGCAGTTATATTTCTACACATTGTTTTTGTTAGGGGAGCTTTTAAAAGGTTTAAATATAGTGGCAGGGTATGGGCATTTATTTAGTGTGCTTTTGTAATGGTCTGTAACAGCTAGGTGGACATACCTATCTGTTCTATTTATTATCAACACAGATAAGGGACCCTACAACTTTGGCGAAGTATCATTTTATTGTTTTTAATTTTTTTTTTTTTACCACTATATTACTCCATTTTTGCACATCCAAAATGTGTCTTATAATGCCTATCTTCTCATCCCACAGATCCACCAGAGGGACCCATAATCGTAGCAGGAACAGTAATACCAGTAATCTTATCTATCCCCTATGATCGTCACAATCTTAGACCAGGGTGGCAGGTTGGCTCTGGATTTGCTAGTCTGTAGTCCATAAGGCAGACTTCATCTCAGCTTGGCATTCCTCCATTCCTGGCTTTGACAGAGACTCAGATCACCTCCGAGCACTCAGCAACTCCAGCGGCCCAATCCTTTGCCTTTAACTTCTCCCATGTGCCAAGACAGACTGGCAGGGGTGGTGGCACAGGTTTGCTTCTGTCTGAAAAGTGGCGTTTCACTCTCATTTTTTCATCTTTCGGTTTCCTCTTTTGAGTACCATGCTGTCCTCACCATGATCTTGCTGCCTTATTTGAGAACTCCTTGGTCGTTCTGTCTGAAGATGCAGGATGTCTTGGTCTGAATCTGGATGACCAGTTATAGTTCTCAGCTCATATTGTGAACCTGACTCAATCATGCAGGTTTCTCCTGTACAACATCAGGAGGATTTGACACTTTCTTCTTCCACTGGCTGTTCGAACAGCAGACTCTGTCACAGTCTTCAAATGTAGATCTATGTTCTGTATCTTTCTTTCTAGGTATCAGCACTGGCTTTTCTGTCTGGCAGTGTCTGAGCTCAGGGGTAGCTTGGATTTTATTTGTGTTATATAGGGTACATTTCCTGAGTGGACAGCAAAGCACGTTTGTAAGTCACTCTGAATAAAAGCGTCTGTTAAATGCCATAAATGTAAATGTAGTCGTTAAGGTATAAGGGCTATTCATTCATCTAATTTTTGCTTCTGCAGTGGGATGTCCCTAGTTTTAAGTCAATGGTGTGAGGCCCATCAAGGCAGTAATCCATACCTCTTCGTGATTCACATTGAAACACTCACATTGTCTTTGTAAACTAAGAAACTGGATTAAGAAATAATTCACACAACTTAATTACTTAATTCACAAAACTTGACTATCATAACTGATCTGCATGTCGACAAAACATTCTCCAATGCTAGACCTTTCAATTCCGATTAATACCCTCACTGTTCTTCCCTCACATACAACATATGTAAAAATCTCTTGTTGTTACTGGTTGACTAGCTTACCTTCTTGGTGTACATCACATTTACTCTTAGATCATGCAGATTCTTACTCTACAGCAGTACAAGAGTGGGATCATTCCTGATAACACAGGCTGACCAAACTCCAGGCCTTGGTCATTTCTTAACTGGACTACAGCAGCTTGCTGATACAGCTAGGGTCTTCCCTAATATGACACCACATCTCTACAAAGCATCTAGCTCTTTCTCCAGTGTGACCTCAGTTGTGGAACTGGCTTCCCTGATATCCGAACTTCCCTTCTCTCTTTCCAGCAGTCATGAGGCACACTAAATTTCCTATTCATGAATCTTTAATACCAAGACAATGCAGTGTTCAAGCTATGTTTATTTTTTCTAGGAAGTACTTCTTTGATAAATGTACACAAGACTAGGATATCTTATTAAGATAAGACTCTTTGTCTTGTGCATTATCCTGTACCTACCAAATGACTAAATATGAATATAATGATATTAAAGATAGCAGAACAACTCTGTCAAATGAGGGCACTGGAACTGAGAGCACTTAAAAAACTGTTCTATAATGAATATCAAAAACACTCCTTTGGTAGGGCACATATGTACTTAAGAAAATCCTCTGAGGAAAAGTGATTGTAAAAATATTTCCAATTTTGTGCAAGTAAACTGGATATTGGGGGCACAAAAAATCTCTTTTGTCCTTGTGCCACTGTGTTGATAATCTTTTGTCACAGTACCACCTGGAGGTAAACAGTGTAGTGTACAATCAAACACCAAAACAAAAGAGCAGATGACTGGCCAGTTGAAAAGCCTTTATTTCAATGTTAAAATACACTTATTTGCATTCCCTTCATGTTTTTAACAAAAAGTGTTTTAGATGTGCAATTCATCAGCAATGCTCCTTTACATGAGCATCTTGTAAACATACAATTATGCATGTCGCACTTTGCATTAAGAGGCATTTGTACTTACTGTAGAATTGAAGAGTAATTACTAAGAAAACAAGACTATGACAGGAACTGTATTAATGTATGTGTAATATTGTCAAAAACCAACCTGTCCATTATTGACATGACAAATCTTTGTTTTCACAGTTACAGTTTCATTTTCTAGTCACCAATGTACTTATCAAAAAGTGCTTCTTTAGAAACTTTTAGAGAGGAAAGGTTCAGTAGTACTAGATGTGCTTTGTGAAAGGAAACTTAACTGGCAATAATCTGTTCTTTTTTAACAAACTTAACAGTAAAAGCGCAATTTGACTATAAACTTATGACATTAAAAACACTTGACATTAGGCACTAAAAATGACCAATATTTGCCTTAACTAATTTATCATTTCACTTGATGCTTGGTTTCTGTAACAAACATTGATATAACAAACAGTGTTAATTAGAGGGGAGTAATTTGCATGTAAACAACTGTATGCATAATGCTCTAATCAAAATGTTTGGCCAAAGGGCATATTGCAGTTACTTTTTTATATTGCATTAACGCAATTAACACTGCTATCCTTCTTATACCATCAGTTATGGTAACACTCCTTCTCTTATCAGCTTCAATTTGTGAACAACAGCTTTGCCCAGCCCGCTGGGCTTGAAATACTGTTGGATGTTTGTGGACGGCAGTATTTATCCAGCATCAATAGCATCCATCCTTCCAGCTTGCATCGCGCAGGGCGTTCAAAGCAGCTACGCTCTTTGGGGGCGTAAGTAAGCTGATAATAATGAAAAAGACATTTTAGAATAATAAACAGTGTAATTAATATTGTAAATAATAGTATAAGTGTAAATATAACAGTGAAACTATATTATCCTATAAACAGAAGTGATTACCTGCGCACTGGCTGAGCAATTTTGCTGCGCAGGGTCCCAGTGGTCCCAACGAAGGAGGCTGGTCGAGGTAGAGCACTGCGACTTGTAGTGGACGAGGTGCTGGGTTTACTGGGGAGAGGGATGCCACTGCTGGAGAGAGAGTTTAAGCTAACTGACGAAGGCATTGTGGTAGGACCCTGTATCGTTGGACTGACGTAGGCTGTGGCCTTCAAAGGTTGTCGTGTTGTTGTGGAGAAGTTGCCTATACTCTGTACCCGCTGCTGCAGCTGACCTGGAGAGGGAACTGGGATAAGAGTGGTAGTTTTATAAAGAATAATTCAATCTATATCAACAAATTGCAAAGCAAAATTAAGAAATCATTTTATTTTTAAACCTAACAGCCAATATTAGTCATAATTGTTCCTTATCTAGCAAAGATGTGTTTGCAGTGTTGGCCTCACTTGCAGTCTGAAGCCTGGCGAGCCCACTTGAAGAGTCAAAGCTCTGACTGTTGCGTAATGAGGACGATGAGGATGAAAATGACGAGAACGCTGTGTGGCTGGCAGGAGCAGCAACGCTTGGGACACTTGGCACAGACAGCATGCTGGGAGCTCGTATCAGGTTTGGCATACTTCTCCGCAACTTGTCTTTAAGCACAAATGACATCCAGTAAGATACTAAATTAACAATTAGTGAATAGTTACCCATTAATGATCGCAATAATTACATTCTTTACAAGTCTACTGTCATTGCCCTGACAGCTCTGCTGCTTAATCCAGCATATGCTGGATTTTGGCATAAACAGAGTAACATTTGCTGTCTATGCTGAGAGCTGCCATGAACTGCCATTCAACCACTTATAATCAAAAAAATTGGCTCAGAGTCTGGAAATACCACATGTGGTATTCATAATTAAAAAAATGATTGAAGGTAAATTAAATACAGGTTATGTCAATGTCAATAAATAAGTGAAGTGTTAAAAAAGTCAATCATTAACTATGAACTAATATAACAAAAAAAAATCCTCTGTAATTTACTATGATAATTGCAAAAGTCTTCTCCACCTACAGAAGCACTGTTTTAACAAAACATACAATACAAAGTACAGTAGTTAACAAATGTCTTATTTTGTGCTTTCACTATAAAAGCAGTAATTCAGTATTGCCTATGTTGTGATGCATGCTGACCTGTGCTGGTGCGGTAACTCTGTGCTTCGTTGGCTGTGTAGCTGGTTGTGCTGGGACTGGGGCTGGGGTTGCTGAGATGCTGGTAGGACAGGCTGCTGAGGTACTGTGGGCTGGAGGGGCTGCGGCGGGGGTCTCTGGGGCTGGAGAGGTTGTATGAATGGGACAGACTGCGCTGCATAGACCCTGTACGGAAGAGCCGAGGCTGAGGAGGTGGTAGATCATCACATTCCTCCTCTTCCTCCAGCTCCAACGTGCTCCTCCCCGGTCGACGCAAACCTGAGTGCACGGAAAAGCTGGAGCTGCGGCGAGCGACTGTGGCCGAGGTAGTGGCATACTCCTGACGCAGACCTGAGCACAAATGTACACTTGTAAACAAGAATCACAGGATGTGAGTAACTTGTAATACGATAACAAAGTTGTTCACCATCTCAAAGGTGTCGCAATACAAGCGATTCTGTGATACATGATATATTACTACATTGATATTTTGTCCTATCCCTAGTCCAGTGTAGGCTTGCTTACAGTTGTGGTATTATTATCTCAAGATCAGGATTATGACCAATAGGGTGCCTATGCATATTCATTGAGTAGTCTTTTCCTGTCAGTGTTGTAAAGTTTGAAGTAGACCTTTGTTTGGAAAGATGCATCTGTAAATTGTTCTTGAATCCTAGCATTGTCACTGTTCGTCAGATTTTGCTCACCCTGCACTCATCACAATTTGATTAGCGCCCCCTCTAGGAGTTATGAAGTGTGACATTCTGATAATTCAAAGTGGTAAAAGACTCAATCAATTTAGAGCACCTATGTATTTACTAAGAACACCAGTACTAAGTGCCAGTGTATTAACAACATATTGTGAAAGGAACTATCACAGTGTATTGCTGTATTGATTTTTAGTCCCACCACTACATATATGCAGCAGCTAGGACACCAACTATTGTTTCAGCATCATATAGATTTTTTAGCCCTTCAGAATAGACATAATAAAGCTGAGAAATAAATAAAGCTTTCCTGAGAAATTTCCTGAGCAGGCCTGGACCTCAATTTATAGAAAATAGTAGCAATTTAAATCGCAGTCACCGTATTAATCGGAAATATCACAATTAGATATTTCCCACAAATTGTTCATATACACTCTTAAAATAAAGGTTCCTAAATGGTTCTTGTCCTGCACCAACAGACATGACATTATTTGGTTTGCATTTGTATCATATACATAGTTCACCATTGCTCTGTTATGTCAAGCTGATAATTCGAAATATGCCCAAATCAATATGTTCATATTGTTGCTGTTAAAAAAGCAGTATCAAAAATAAAAACATGTAACCCCCTTTTTTTTTTTTTTTTTACATCATTTGAACATAGCAGCCACCCTGTATATTGTATGAACATTTTATGATGAATAAGCTGAAAAAAATCCTTTAATTAAATCTCTTTCCATTAACTTGCATTAAAAGTTAAGAGCGTTTTTGTCTTCTCCTGTAAAGTTACCATTTTGGAGATACATGTTTTTTTTGGACAGTGCTGACACATCAAGGCTGATTAGTGTGATGTGCGACAAAGGACATACTCTCTTCTTGCAGTCGGGCCATGACCTGCACGTCTGTCATGTCCTGAAGTTTATAGTCCATAGAGATTGAGTCATCCTCCAGCTCTGAGGTGCTGAAATCATTGTCCGTGGAAGACTGTGGGCTGACGGCTGCATGTGGACGACTGTAATCTACAGTGATGAGAGGGTTAAGATTGACGTTTGGGAGTAAAACAGACATAGTTAAGGCATTTCTATAACCTTTACTATTACATAACATACTGAATGTGACTTTTCATACAAACTATGTATGAAGACTTACAGAATCAAAAATATATTACATTATATTTTTGGGTGGTAGTTCCACATTAGCTAAGCTGCTTGTAAAGCCCAAGGATGAATAATGGACATGACTAGGCTTACTCTGAGTAGCCGTGTGATAGAGGAATGAGGGAGACCTCTCGGCCAGGCCACCGCAACTCCTCCCAGTGAGAGGCTGCTGCAGGAAGCATTGGCTGGATGGAGAGGATGGCGCTGAATCAACAGAGACATGAGAAGTAGCTCATTGTAATGGATTCACAATATTTGAACTTGGATGATGAATGTGAGATGACTTTACTCATAATCTGGGGCCATTATACTTTAAGTGGTAGTTATAAATATAAAAAATGAGCAAACATCCAATTTGAAGTGCATATTTAAACCACTCACAATGCAAAGGACCGTAAGTGAAACACAGTATGACTATAACGGCTTTGCCACAGAGAACATATGCTGCTGTAGCCACTCCACAGATGATGTCACCAGAGCCAGTCAATAATGTCTCAGATTTCACTAAGTCTGAAAAAATATGCTGAGTTGCGCTCAAAGACATGGGATATCCTTTCTTTCTAGTGCAAAATCAATAGCCATAACCTTCTGATCCAGCCTAAATAAGCAAAATGCTCATATCATGAAAGAAATGCAATGCGATGTTGTACAATAAGTATACTGCTATTACATCCACATATAGTGCCTCAGCAAATAGAGTGACTGAGTAAAAGCTAAATTATTTTTGCCCTGCTTTCTTTTTAATATGGTAGTATAGCTGTAGTGACACTGTTACCTGTTTGTTCAGTTAGTGTGGGTTTAGTAAGAGGTTTAACAGGAGTGCTTAAGGAGGAGAGTCCATCTATAGGGCTGTAGGCAAGGGAAGATGAGGCATAGCCAGAGAGGACCCCTCGCCATCTTTTGGCTAAAGGAAGAAGGGGAGGAATGTTAGTACAATCATGCACTGAAGAACAGTAAATATTTGAAGCTACTCAAAACTTAGTTAAAAGGGAATTCCATCAGTTTTTTTTTTCAAAATTTCAGCATAATTAAATCATTAAGATGTAAACAAAGTCATTCAGAGTTGTTTGATTAGTTGAAATACTTTATTCTAACTTGTCAGGATTATTCACAGTGGTAGTGACAGGAACCAACCATCTGAATGCCTTGAAAAACCACCTCACAGAAAGCTATTACACAGAATGGTTAAGCATATGCAGTCTGATACTTTTTTTCACAATAGCTGGATGATAAACATGCCTAAAACATTTTTTAAATCCAGGAATAGCAGAGATATACATAAAAGATGTTCTAAGGCAAGACAGTCCTCAAATAAGACTACTATTTTACTACTTTTAACATTACACATAAAACACAGAAGACATGTAGGTTCACTGGTCAATCTGGATGGTAAATACAATGGTGATATTTGTAGACATTACAACCCCTGGTTACCATCAACACCACTGTAAAGAAATCCGAGTCATTACAATTCACATTAAAACACTCTGAATGACATTGATTTTTGAAAAATCAATGGAATTCCCCTGTAAGATGGAGAGTGAAGGTTATAGAGCACAAGGTTAGAGCTTATTTTTGCTATCAGGGTAGTGACTGCACCAACATTTCAGTTCCTATATCTACCCCTCTGTCAATCTTTAATTAACACTGCAGTGGGATGCATTTTGCTTTGAACATTAAGCTAATTTGGGGTTATTGGTAGGCAAACAGAGCACTGTGCTTTTGGCATACCTTACACAATTAGCCCTGCCATGACAGCAATGAAAACTAGCATTCATGTCTACCCACAAAAACAAAGCTTTTTAGAGACTGGTGGAACAAAGCTGTATTCATGACCCCCTAGCACAGAGCCAACCTTGCTCAATCTGGCCTTTCAACAGCAAAGAGAACGCAAAGCTCACACTTCTCTGTAAATACATCTTATACATTATTTATACGTGGACTGATCCAAATGGAATAACTGATATAAAATGCTATCCTCATGCTTTGCCCCTGTTCTGACTGAGCTGTGTATTGAAACTGTGGAAATGAAACTGCTACACTCCAGTTTAGCAGAAGGGGTTAATATAGTCAGGGTTTCTATGGTAACCATCTTCTCCACCATGGCTGCAAAATACAAGGCTGAATATTTCAAGACTGAAATGAATTGAGGAGTGGAAAAGGCTTTACACTTATCTACACTTATCATAGTTTTTCTGTGTCATAAGCAGAAGAACTGATACTTTTAATACTTTGAAGGTTACACATGCAAACATGCACAGGTAATGTAGTATATGCAGAAACCAAAAATGTAATAGGCCATTAATAATCTGTTCTGTAGACAGTTTCTAGTGCTATATATGTCTCATAAGATGCCATTGCTATATGCATGCTGCAGCTTATAACCTTGCCTTAGTCCTCACTTGGTGCTTTTGTGCTGTCACGTAAACCACATGGTTCTCTTATCTTCAGAGCATAATTACTGACTCTTTTCTTCACAGCAACGTGATTATATCCAAGTAGATTGACACTTACATAATTGTATAATCTAAGCTTAATACCAGGGTTCTTCTCACTTTTTGCACGTTCTCACATAAGTCTATATATAAAATAACTGACAGACGAAAGGAGCACAAATGATTTCATCCACTGACAAGGGTTTTAACAAATTCACAGTACAGGCTCCAACAACACCATGTTTTTAGTGACATCACATTTCACATACCAGACCTTAAGAACCGGTTAATGACACAGCTGATCTCTACTAAGAGAAAGGCTGATGAAGAAAAGCTGATTATTGCAATCTGAGGATGAATATAGCAGCTATTATTAAACTGCTTTTCAAAAAACTGAGCTTCAAGTGAAATCAAATGACTGACTGTCACATAAGGGACAACAAGTTTCCTGTTTTGTTCAAGATGTCTAAGCCCCTTAGTTCAAAAACTACATTAACTCAGACATAATCAAGTCTTACTTTCTCTCTTGGATTGGAGATTGAACTTGTATGTAAGGATGTGAGAAGGTCACCATACCTTGCTCTAGTCGGTAGCATAACGAACGCTTAGCCAACTCCACCTCGGGGCTGGGGTTATCAAGCACGTGTCTACACCACTGCAGGGGGCTGAGGAGGGACTGAGGGTACAGCTTTGCTTTTGGAGACACAAACAACCTGGAGATAGAAGAGATGGAACAGGGAGCCAAGTAAAACAATCAGTTCGCCTCGCAGATTTGCCAGTTACTGTGACACAATTTCGATAGGCTGATAAGTTACTATATGCATGTGTTTGAAGGACATAATAAATCATGTCTGAATTATTGATTCATGACATATGGTTGCAATGGTTGAAAGTCAAGATGATGTCAGGATCTATTAAGGAATAGATGCTGATTTTTATAATTTTCTTTGAGGCCTGAGAGCCACATAGACCATCCTACCCAATCACAAAAGGTGGGCGGTCACAAACTGTGAGGCTATCAACACAGATGCAAGTTTTAATAGGCCTGTAAATGGGCCTGGGATATCAAAACAATACTATAAGATCTATGAAGTTGGCATATGCTTATGTGGTAATATGAAATTTTCCTATTGAGAGGCTGTGAGTAAGCAAATCTGATCCACTAATTAAGATCCACTCCATCAGAACCCTTTAGGTAAGAGCATTTCAGATGTAAACAGACCCAACAAAGGACATCTAGATTAACACAGCAGCTATTGCTGCAGTGGGACCTCTTAGGTTACTAATAAACTGAAGCTAAATAATAAAGATAACAATATTGGGCAGATATGTCATGAATTCAATTATCTGCATAACTTTCACTCTCTGTACACAATACTAACTACAGCTAATTCAAATTGAAATGGGGCAGCACTGTTGAAGGTAAACACAGTGTTCCTTAAAAAACAACAGTATTTAAACGCAATTGAGACACGCAGGTTTAAAATCAGGTCAGTGAAATGGAGCTGGGCTGCAGTACCAGGTGTCCTCAGCCTCTCCATCGATGGGGAGAAGAGCAGAAAGGTCCAAAATTTCAGCCTCGTCCAGCGCTGTTCGCTCGCAGCCGTTGTTCTCCGCCTCCCTCTGAGGATGGAAATACGGATAAAGCTCCTCGGTCGTGTGGGGTCCAAACGAACCTGTGACGGACGGGGAGGAAACCGGGTAATTCCCTGTATAAAACTGGCCCGCTGTGAGGAGTTCAGAGCAGCTGGAGTTTGAACACAGATGGCCAGCGGAGGGGCAGCTGTTGGCCGTGTTTGCTCTCGTCCTCAGCTGCTCGTTCTGGCGCTCCAGTTTCCGCACGAGCTCCTGGAGCTTTTTTACCTCCAGCTCGGCGTCCATAACCTTACTGTTACCGTTGACGTCCGCCATCATTTGGAGATTCAGCACAGCAGCTTCCATTGGATCCTAATACAAAAAGTACCCAGCAGTAAAAAAAATGGTGGCGAGGATTTCACCCAGCGCGGCAGCTCACAGCTTTAGCCGCTCGGCTGGCAGCGCCATGCTTCATTCAGATGCTGAATGTGATGTGCTGGACGCAAAGCCTGGCTCTCCGTGTCCCCTCCCCTCAGCTCACAACAACACAGCACAACACACAGGGCTGCGAGCCTACCGGGCATTTTAAAAGAGCTCTCCTTTTGTTCGGCGGGTCTGGCGTGGTGATTGAGGAAAAAAAGCTATTAAAGGGAACTTTCACCGATTTTTAAAAATTTCCAACCTTAGGTTTTCTTTACAGTAGTGGTGATTGGAACCAGAGGTCGAGTCATGTCTACAAATGCAAATATGTTTTATTTGCTGTCCAAAATAACCATTGAAAATGCATGTGGTTTATATCGCTGTTGTTGGAAGAAAACCTGGTATTTCCATTTTTGACGTTTTTCAGTTTTTGACATAGTTTGAAAATACCTGTTTCCCTTTATATTATATGTAAATTTCATGATGAATGAACTAAAAGAAACGACCCAGAATCACTTGGAAAAACGTCTGGTTCCACTGACTTACATTAAAAGTAAAATGTGTTTTTTCCTTCTCCTGTAAAGTTACCATTTTGGAGATGCAAGGTTTTCTTCTGACAACAGCGATATGCAAATTGGTAAAACAGTGGTTAAACTGAAAAACAAGAAAAGTTTTCTGGGTACTATTTTGCTTTTTAATGCTGTGCATGTACCTCCCTGGATTTAAAAAATACCGTTTAGGCCAAAATCTTTTCTCAAAACTATTTAAAAACAGTGTCTCAGACATTAGGCAGCGTATTTGTAACTATTTAATCATACACTTTTCTCTGAGGTAGCTTTTAGAGGCATTAAATGATTCAGATATCTGGTTCCTATCTTTTTTGCCCTTTTTCACTTTTATTTTGTGATTATTATCATGAACAATAGAACAGAGCATTTCACATCAAACCGCCCTGAATGTCTGTTTACATCTTAATGATTTAATTATACTGACGTTTTGAAAAATCTGTGGAATTTCCACGTAGGATCACACACCGTGGTCCTGTTCTGGTTTCAAGGATAGTAAAATGCATTAAAATGTGTTAAACAATTAATTGTCCTAAAATGAGCATGCATAGCTTTAATGACCCCAAACACACGGATGTATGTAATTAAAATGTTTATTTATTCAAATACTTTGAATAGAGAATGGACAAATGGAGAAACGGTCACAAAGTCCTAACACTTGTCTTTCAATGATAAAACATGGTGGCTCACAGCAGACTTGAAGGTCACTTCAGTTTGTTAAATAGAAATAGAGAGAGGAGATAAAATATTACAGGATATTAAGACAAATACACAAATCCTATCACCTGCTTCCACCACTTACTACAGACAGACCCACTACCCCTCTTGCTTGTATTTCAGTTCCTCTTTTCTATGACATTTGTGGGAAAGCACTTTGAATAACACAACATGCAAAAAAATCCCATTATCATAATTTTCCTTCACCTAATCAAAGTCTTAAAAGTCGATATATGGATTTCCTTCATTTCTCTGTTCTTCATGTTTTATCTTCACATGTTTTTGCCTTAGTGATGACACCTGTTGTAGCTTCAGCGACGCCACTTATCTGTAAAATGAGCAGATTTGTTTGTATTAGGTCATCCATTACTGATTGATCAATATACAGTAAGTCTTTGAACAGAAGGGTGGTGCTGTCTTACCCCTGGTGACACCAAAGCAGCGTTCACAGTGCACAGTGCGCTGATAGACCCACATGCTGTCCCCTGCCTTCAGATGTCCCAGAGAACACTTACACAGCTCACACTGTCACAGAGATCCACAGAATGTGAGAGTAATTACATTGATCAAAAGGTAAAAATCTAAAAATAGTCAAAAACTAGTAATATCATATTCTATTTACTTGTTCACTATTCTTAGATGATAATTACAGACAAAAAAATGAACTAAAAGTCCTACCTTGAAACAAGTGGCGTGACACTGTATATTCATATCATCCAGAATCATCTTGACCTCAGAGATCATGGGTTTGTGGCAGTATGTGCAATAATCCTTCTCAATGATTTTCCTTTTGAAAAGTGAAATGCATTTCACATATCATCACTGTTCATAAACGTATCTCTATGTTTTTCTGTTTTTATTCTTCTCCATCATTTGAGCACAGCGGTTGTTCTTAACATATGTCCAAACTTCATGATGAATAGACCAATAGAAATAGTCCAAAATTACTGGAAATAAATCTCATTGCATTGATTTAATCAAAAGTAAACAATGTTTTTGCCCTCTCCTGTAAAGTTAACATTTTGGAGACATTTATTTTTTGGACAGTGACAATATGCTGTCCCAAATAAAATAATAATAATTAAATACATATAATTAGAGTACAGTTCAATCCTACCTGTCAGGTGTTGTGTACACCGTTTTAACAGTTTTTGATGTGAAGGTATCAGACAGGTAATCTTCAGGCCTGCAGAGAAAATACACCCCATGGCAATCATGTTAAAGCAAATTGCAGTTGAAATCCTGTTTAATATACACGTTACAGCCTGATTCAAATTTGTAATTCACTTCTTTAAACATTTGCCCTTGCTCTTATCGCACCTGTTGTCTGTGTAAGTTGTTGTTGTAGTGTAGGTCGTGGTGGAGCCACTGATACTGCGGCGCTCATACCTTTTCAACAGAAATGAATTAATGCATTAAAAATTCAAACATAACAGTGTCTGCAGTTCTTCATCAACCAAAAGTTGCTTAGCAAAATAAAATTAAATGAATTACCTATCAGGTGTTGAGGAAACGGTCTTCACAGATTTGGTGACCCCCGTATCAGGAAGGTAATCCTCGGCTCTGCGAAATCGATAAAACTCCATTGTAAAGTATGTGCAGCTTGAAATGTGACTGCACTGAAAAGCTCTTAAGTAGAGTCATGCGAACACTGGAGCCCAAATGAGAATGCGTACCTGGTCTTTTTGTATGAGGTTCTCGTATAGGTCGTGGGACTGGTTACGCTGCTTTGCTCATTGCTGTGTAAAAGACACAGTATGTAAATGAGCTATTTGGAAGTCACAAGAAAAGACTACAAGCTGACTAAAATAATACGCAGACCCCACCCTGCATGCCATACCTGCTGGTGACAGGTGCTGAGTAAGCTGACTTGATGGATGTCGGTACAAGTGTATCAAACAACTGGTCCTCAGCGCTATAAGAAAGTGATAATGAGAGGTTGGTTTTAGGTAATTTACTGAAAATTACACCATTAAAATTGCAGTGTGGTCACGCTAAAGAAGGCTTTTTGGCACTACATGTGGACTGTGACTGAATGCCCATTACTATGTAAGTCACTCGTCCTTGTTTTTAGAATTTCTATGTACAATTCATACCTAAATTTATGCAATTTAGAGTTTCTATATATTTCTATGTAAAAAAACTACTTTTTGGATAGAAGTATACCTTGTTTTTACTTTTTACTTGGATCTTCTGATCACAAAAGAAATTTGTTAAGCGGTTGAAATTAGTGCTTTAAACTCTGAATCATTTAATACCTCTTAAAGCTCGCTCACAAAAAGTTATTACATAAAACAGTTTTGAATATGCTGTCTGATGCCTGAAACATTGTTTTCCGATAGCCGCAAGCTTAAAACATATTTTTAATATACCCTTATGATAGAAGGGTACATGTAGGGTATTCTAAGGCAAACAAGTCCCCAATAAACCTAATTTTGTCCAGATTTACCACTATTTTATGGCTCTATTTGCACTGTAGACATCTCAACCCCTGGGTCCTATCACCACCACTGCAAAAAAATCTGAGTCAGTAACTTTCTCTACAATGAACTATTTCATATCAAACCTCTCATCGTCAAATCTCAACCACTTAATTATGCTGAAATTTAGAAAAATCGGTGGAATTTCCCTATAAAAGACATACTGCTATATAAACTAAGATTCTCACCTTGATTTGGTGGTGATGGTGCTCGTTGTCGTCTTAGATGTTGGTACATCATTATGACTAACATAGTTCTTGGTGCTGTTGATAAGATGGACAGTTTAAAAGAAAGCCAAGATGGGAATTTGATCAATTTGAAGCTCAGGCACTGAGTGTTGTCTTTACCTTGTAGTAGTTTTGATGGTCGAAGTTGGGGACGTCACTGACTCAACAGTTTTGCTTTCTTCTCTGAACAGAAGAAGAGAGTGAGAGAATTTCTCTAGAAAAAATGATAAAATGAATGAGATTTCGCACCAGATTAATCACTTACCCATTCTTGGTGTCCTTGGAAGTAGTCACAGTGATAGTCTCTGTCTTGGAAACACTTGAGCTTCTGGAACTGATGTTAAGAGACCAGCCGTTATTAGTCCAATCTTTATTTTCTGATAATGTTTAACCCTGATATTCATTAAAGGGGAACTCCACTGATTTTTTGAAATTTTTGCATGATTAAATGGTTAAGATGTAAATATGGTCATTCAGAGTGGTTTGGTGTAAAATGCCCTGTTCTAGTGAAACTTACAGAGTCAGAATTATTCACAGTAGAGGTGGATAGGAACCAGATATCTTCTTCTAAAAGCTCCCTCACAGAAAGTTATTACATGAAATGGTATGAATACTCAACCTGATGTCTGAGACATTGTTTCACAACAGTTGTGAGACAAAGTTTTGGTCTTAAACATATTTTAACTAGCAAATTTTAATCCAGTCATGGTGGAGGGATACATGAAAGGTGTTCTAAGGCAAAATATTCCTCCAAGAAAATAATTTTTTTCAGATTTACCGCTATTTTACCATCATCAATATTACACTGCTGGTTTTGGATAGTAAATAAAATGGCGATATTTATGTTTTAGACATTATGACCCCTGGTTCTTATCACCATCACTGTAAAGAAATCTGAGTCTGAATCTGTAAGTTTCTCTACAATTACCCATTTCACATTAAACCTCTATAATTGACTTTGTTTATGTCTTAACCACTGAATTATGGAGAAATTTTGAAAAATCATCAGAATTCCCCTTTAAGTTAAATCATTGTCATACCTTTTAGTCGGTGCCTGTGTAGTTTCCACAGGAGGCTGACTTTGAGTTTTCCTTTAAAGAGATA